AGTATGAGGTACTCTAATCCTTTTAAGTTGTCCTTTCAGACGTTTAGGAGTGACTTGAAGCATAAAAATGTGATCTTGGATGTGATATTTAGCCCATGCATGTGTTAGAGGGTCTTATTGGGTTAAGAACATAGGGATTTGGTCATTAAGCATCTTATAGCCATGCAAAGTCATAAAGTTGGAAACTTTATGACTTAGGAGATTGGGCTTGGATCTGAGTTTTGGGCGGAAGGGCTTAATGGAATAAGCTCCTAATGGAATTTTGGGATTGGGTAGCATATGATGGGCGTACCTGGAGGTACGCTCCACGTACGGTGTCAGCGCCCCACTTTCTGGTCAACATCAGAGTACACTAGGTGTACTCTCATGGTACGTTGGGCGTACTCCGCTAGGGAAGAATGTTGACTTTTGGACCTTGACTTTAACTTTGACCGGGGTTGAAAAAGTTTGACTTAAGGATATTTTGGGTATTTTGATCTATAGTTAAGCCTTGGTCTCTATCCGTTGAATAGGTGACCTGGAGAGCTGGTAGTCAGAGTAGTGAATTGTTCAACTATTCGTCAAACTGCGAGGTGAGTTTTCCTCACTGTACTTACGGGTCGAAGGCACCAAGGCCGGCCCATTGGACTAATATCCTATTATAAGTTAAGTTATGATATGCTGAGTATGGGATATACCTATAGGGTTATATGACAGTTGTTGATATGCGTAGACCGGTAGATCTGTAGGACTACCTGTGATTTCTGGATGCATGATTATCTGTTTGTTGATTTTGTTTGTTATCTATTATATGTCGACATATTGTGTTAAGTTGAGACTTTAATGCTTTATGTGTGAGTCAACAGACCGTGGGTATTCCAGTCTGATGACTGATTGGACCTGAGGGTATTCCAGTCCGATGACTGAGTGGACATGTGGTATATTGGCATTCCAGTCAGATGACTGATTAAGCCAGGAGGGGGTAATCCAACCCAATGGTTGTGGAATCGTTGTATATTGGTATTCTAGTCCGATAACAGAGTGAACCTGTTGTATTTTGGCATTCCAGTCCGATGACTGATTGGGTCAGGAATAGGTAATCCAGCCCGATGGTTGTGAACCCATCGGTATTTCAGTCTGATGATTGATTGGACCCAGCCTGCTTGTTTGTATGTGATATGTGTATTGTGTGGTGGTACTTTAGGGGACTCGCTAAGCTTTGTGCTTACAATTGTTTGTTATGGTTTCAGTTACTTCACATGATCAGGAAAAGCAAAGGCGTGATCGTGCATATCCTTCGGATTTTATGTTATTGGTCTTGGGAATAGTTTGATTTTTAACTAATGCCTTGGAAATAATGACTCTTCTGTAAACAATGATGTTAAATGATTGATTTTGAAAATTTTAAATTTCTTTGATTTTTGGAATGTTACATAAGACTATGATGGTATCATAGCACTCACATGAGTATGTGGTATTTTGGGGAACTCATTAAGCTCTTTGCTTATTGTTTAAGTTTAAAATGTTTCAGGTTGTCTGGCAGCAAGGAGAAGTGCGCGATGTGATTGCAATGCATCTGCTGTTATGTTTTAGAGATTTTCGCACTTTTTATTTTTTATTATGATTATGACTCTTATTTGATTATGTTTTGAAACAAATGGTTGTTTACTTATTTGATGATGAAAATGGTGTGATTTTCTTTAAATTTAAAATGAAAATTTTGGGTTGAAATTTGGAACGTTACAGTTGACATAACCTATTATATATAGGGACTTGTCTGTAGTGGTGCATGCGCAACTACTGGATTTTTTCGTATTAATGTACAAATTTTTATTATTATTATAGTTCATAAATTTAATCAAAAGTTAAGATGGTTGGGTTGGTCTAAGGCGTAAGTTAAAGTTCTCCTCTGGAATATAACTTGAGTTCAACTCCTGATCTCATCAAGTTTCTTTTTTATTTTTACATTCACTTTTCCTTTTAATGTACCATCTGTTACCGATCCCCCAAAAAACTCTAGCCAACAAAATCATACCTGTAAAGTAATTACCAGAGGGTTTTTAGTCCAGCGGTATCAGGTGTTGTCCTTATTCTTTGAAGTTGAGGGTTCAAACTCCTATCTCCTCCTATGGGATCCTATTTTAACATTTATTTCATACACATTACACATATATGTGTATAGATGCAGAGCTTTTATGAATCCTTATAAAGTTACAAATCATAAAACAACGTACACTTATAGGATTCATGGAACTATAATGACAAGTGTCATCATGTTATTTTTGAGCACTTCACCAATTTAACTTCCACTAGTATAATACCATATATGTTAGCTTAAATATGAAAAATAATCTCACGTGTAAATTAAAGAACTGTAAAAAATTGTTTTTTTAGGTAATGAAACCTAAATAATGATGATACGAAACGTAAACGGGACCTAAATGATGACAAAGTTTAATTTTAATATTGAATATGTATAAAGCATGATTGGATTGCAAGGAAAGACGATTTGAATCTAGATTGCTACCTAGTGGAAAGGTGAGTAAATATAGATTTTTTTTCATTTTGCGATACATGTAACAAAACTATTATATTAAACAAAGGTCACGACTCATCTCTACATCGATGAAAGTATATGTTTTTTTAAGAACTATTTGGACAACATAAAATTCGTATCGTGACCTATATGAGTCTAATTATATTGGTTCCAATATTTTTTGTACCGAGTCCGGACCGGACCGGATTGTCTAAAAATACGATACCCTATTATCCAGTTTATCCTAATCAAATAAGAAGTTCCATCAAATAAAAATATGAAGGAGACTTTTGACTGGTTTAACTTATTTTATTTGTTTTTTCTAGTTAATTCTTGTATTTACTCTTTTGACATTTTAAATATAATATAAAACCTAAATCAACCTTTTAATAAATTAATAATGATAATTCAGAGTGTATATTATTTTAACTGGAAATTGATGGGTTCTTCAAATATAAATTGTTTAGTTTTTTTGACAAAATGTTGAATAAATAAACATCTTTGGGTCATGGGCTCGAAGTACATAAAGATTGTTTTTTTATGGGCCTTTGAATCCTTTTTCTTACTTTGAGTATATTAAAATATTTAAGTTTCCTTTTTAAAATCTTTTGGCTAGAAATTAAATGTAATATCTCCTCGTTTAGACTATAAATTAATGTATAAAATTTAATTATTTGGTCAAGATCAAAGTCTTGGATTTCAAATTCTTTAGTTGTGTTGAAGAAAGAAACATTAGTGCACTAAGCTTTTGAAAAGCACTACAAATAAAAGCATACAACGTAATAAATTATATTTTTAATATGATACTTTATTTGTTTTCTTCAATAAAACTTTGTTTCCTTTGATATTTATATTTTAACCGTAAATCATAGTTATCAGCTAGGGTTAAACTGAGGCCAGAAATAGGAATGTCATTTTATTTATGTATTTAATTAGCATAGCGTCTTACCGCTTTTTTCTATTAAATTATGTACACTCTTAACAGTGTAACAATTGGATAGGTATTTTCTTATATGCATTGCCTTAAAAAGGAAAAATAAATATATAATATTTTAATAGTAAAAAAATTAAAATAGGATTTTGTTAGCTCCGCTGTTGCAAAATTATATTCCTAATAATATCTTTTCAAATTACAAATTTATTTATTGTTGTATAAAATGCAATAAATTAGTTTTTAATTCTGAAAATAATAGCAACCTTTTGACTATTCAGAATGATCATCTAAAAGGTTTCGAGCCAAATATGAAACATTTAATAAATTTGCACAATGGGATTAATGGAACTTGTGAAAGCTAATAAACTCCTTATGTAATCAATTATGGACATTTTGTCGACGCATTTGAGTACAAAGTAGAGTTTATTATTGTATTAAAGTGAATTAGCTACTTATATTAGGTGAGCCGTCTAATCAACACCTTAAAGACTAGAAAATGGGTCCATACATATATGTTTCTATATCTATAGAATAAGAGGGATTGGGACATATGACTCATGTAATCATACCATCGTGCACAATTTGAATATATATACAATTAAGGTTTTCAGTCACACGGTTGGATGAAGGCGGTGCTTGTTATTCAAATGGAGTATGATTGATTGATAATCATGTCATGTGGTTGACTTTTCAAACTCCTGCTATGAATTAAATATGATTGAGCAGAGATGTAGTATTACGAAAATGATTGGACAAAAATTAACTTATTAAATTAAAACAATGTGATAGTAGAAAGAAATCAAACTCATAACAAATAAATGAGGGGAATAGTACTTTTGATCCACCTTCAATGATCCATACTAATCTCGATCGATATTCTATAACTATAATAGTAATTAGATATACTTAATACTCTATGCAATATTATTGACGCGTTTTAAAATTAAATTATTCTTATAGTATGCATAGGGAATGAGTAATTAAATCCTGGGGAAGATACAAGAGGGTTCAAACTCCAATTATCCATACGACTTATCTTAGATAAAATACAAAAAACTATGTGCATATTTTATTCATCCTGACGTACCATCTAGCTTTGTAGATGATAAAATTTCAAGATGACCCAAAAAACAAGGGTTTCCCTTCTAAAATGTCAACAAAGGGTATGTGTCGCTATTATTGTTCTCGTTATCAAAATCTTCCCTGGCTCCGGTACATACACATAAATGATATATATATATATATATATATATATATATATATATATATATATATATATATATATATAGAGAGAGAGAGAGAGAGAGAGAGAGAGAGATTAAGTGAAGGAAAAGGGGGAAAAGACTGGCTAATCTAGGCTTTATAGCATGGTAACAAGCTTTCTTGGCATATCTTGATGGCTAATGATCAAGCTCGGACGTAACCCTATATACACAATAGTACTGGTAAAGGCATAAACTGCAAAAGATAATATTTTATGATAATATGAATTAACATGGTGATCATAAGAAGCAAACTGGCACTCTAGGGTCACTAATAATAGAAACTAAATCAGTTCCTCATCATTCTAACAGCAAGTTCTTGAAGCTCACCCAAATCACTTGGGAAAGGTCTCTTTTTGTTATTGTAAATTTGTTGAAAAGATATATCATGGTAATGATCCTCTCTACCTTGTCTCTCTTGCATCCCCATTCCTTCACTGTTGTGATCAATGGATTCAAGTGAACTCTCGGGCGAAAGTGAAATGTTTCCATTCATAATACTCGCGAAATTTGGATAATTCTGATATGTAGCGGTTCCTGCAGGCCATTGAGTCTCTATGTTTCTTGAATCGAACAAACCTTGGGCCATTTGAGCCTTCATTTGCATCAGCTGTGTTTGTAAGCAAGCGACCTACCATTCAATTATCAAATTAAATGAGAACAGAACCCATCGAATAAAACGACCTCAATCAATCAAATACATATATGTGTATATATACCTGTTGCTGCAACGCAAAGATATGCGCAACACAACCATAAACTGGATCTTTGATCCTAGCTTGAGCTTCGTATGCAATGGTGACCACCGCCTCGCAGCGATCAGCAGCAGGCACATGAAGCAGTAGTTTCGAAACATTGCTTGCACCAAACACTTTATGAATGGCAGCGAACCTAGCTGGACCTTGTTCAGAACAGAAATAGGGTGCAAAGATGCAGTCTGCAGCACACTTTCGTCTTAGAAATTTGCATGCACCACAAGGGGAGCCAGTGCCAGCAGCAGTTGCCATAATGAAACTGAAAGAGAGGTCTAATGGGAAGATAAGTGAACACAGAAATAGTGAAAATAAAGCCGGTCTGATGAAGGGGTTTTAAGGTAGGGAAAGGGAGACAAAAAAGATGTGCCTGTAGGGTTATAAAGTGACACTTACTAAATGCTTATGCAATTTTGGGATCGATTATTTGATGGAGTACTATATAGTATCAACATCCTAAATATAGACTTCATATATATTAGTTTTTACAAAATTTACTCGAAAAAACAAACAAGGAACAAATATCCTATTTGGTCTACTCATGGAACACAAATAGTTTAAACATCAAACAATCATAAATTTATATATATACCCAAGTAAAGTTAGAGGGTCTCTCAGGGTTTTCATCAATAACTCGGTATTATAGATATTTAATTTCAATTAGGGAAGTGATCCGCACATAATAATTTTTTGTCATGCACAATAATTTGTGTTTTTTATGAAGTTGTACAGTACAAACATATAAAACACAAATTGTTGTGTATGGTTAAAAACTGTTGTGTACGGATCAGCAATGAACATATGTCGAATAAACTTTTTTATAATATGGGTTAATCTCAAAAAAAAACCTTATACATTTTTATTTTTCCCGAATTGGCCCTTTTAGTCATTTTTTCATAAAAAAAATGTAAAATGTAAAGTTTTTTTCGAAAAAAAAAAACTACAAAATTTGATGTTTATTTGGAAGCATTTTGAAGTTTGAAGGTTTTTTTCGGAAAAAAAAATAAATACAAAGTTGATGGTTTTTTCGGAAAAATGAAAAAATACAAGGTTTTTTTCAAGCAAAAAAAATTTTTAAGGTTTAATCCGGAAAAAACACAAAATATAAGTTTTTTTTAGATTAACCCTTACAATATTTGAGAGATTTGGCGATAATATTATTTTTACCCTAGGGGGTTTGTTATAGACTTTATGCATGAATTTCTTATATTTTTTTTTTCAAATGGCTAATTATACATTCTTGAATTCTGAATTAAGCCCCAAATCACGGTGGTGGAAACTGGAAAGCAATGTTCAGGGGGAGGATGAGGTGGACGAAGTGGTCTTCGTTACAACAACTTAGGTAGACGACAGCCCTAACAGGAGCGGCCACCTCATTCTCCGGAACAACAACCACTGTCGTACTCCTATTTTTGCGATGCCACATGGGATTACGAATGGCTTCCAGCTCCCTGGTCACTGGACTCCGGAGGTTATGATTGGATAAGGATCCAATCATAACCCCGATTCATCAAGCTTTTAAAATAGTCGGTGCTTCTACTTGTAACGTCCCGAAAACGGTAATAAAATTTTTCATTTAAAATTCTATCAAATCATTCATTCATTGTTCAAAATCAACACCAAGTCATAATATTCAAAACATCGGAGTACAATTATTTCAAATGTGGAAATCATGAAGGGAGGATGTTGTGCTATCTCGTCGGGCCCTTCCCTTTCGAACCGGGAGTATCTGAAACCATAAACATAGACTATAAGCACAAAGCTTAGTGAGTTCCCCAAAATACCACATACCAATCATACAACTGGGCTTAACCCTGGGGTATAATCCAACCCAATATACACATATGGGCCCCGCCCTGGGGTGTATTTCAACCCGATCAACACATATGGGTCCCGCCCTGGGGCCTCGCCCTAGGGTCTATTTCAACCCGAACATACTGTAGTGGTCCCCGCCCTGGGGTATATTTTAACCCAAACATACTATAGTGGTCCCCGCCCTGGGGTGTATTTCAACCCAGCATTCAATCATATATATACCACATAACAACTATCATTCTAAGTAATACAATAATGGGCCGACATTGGTGCCTTCGACCCATGGATACAGTGAGAAGACTCACCTCCAAAGAAGATAATCGTGTCACACACTCGAGCTGCTGCTAATACGGCTCCTCACACAAAAGATATCCTAAAGGAAATAACCCTAATTAATAATCCAGCTTTTATTCCATAATAGACGGTCCAACCAATCCCATAACCTAAATAGGGGCAAAAAGGTCATTTGTCCTTCCCATTCGGCCCAAATTCTGAAAGGCCCAACACTAATGATTCAAGGCCCAAAAGGATGGCCCAATTGCTGGAACTGGGTCGTACGCCCCACGTACCAACTTTTACGCCCCGCGTACACGATCGATGCGAAGGGAATCAGGGTCAAGGTGCAGTACGCGCAGCGTACTGGGTTTTACGCCCTACGTATGCACCCTAAATCCAAAACTCCCATTAAGGTCTCAACGCTTTAAGACCTTACGTCTACACTTCATATCTAAGCATATTAAGACCTTTAAGGCCATAAAGCTGCAAACTTTATGGCTATGCATGGCTACAAGGAGCCCAACACTAAGAACCTAACTTGCTCCATCTTTTTCTACACCATAACTCTTGCATGGGGACAAATCAAGATCCAAGCTTACATTTTTGTGACTTAAAATTCCCTAAAATGTCTATAAGGACAGCTTAAAGGCGTTGGAGTACCTCATACTCACAAACACCTAGGTTTGGGAACAAAAGTGAAGAAATTCTAAGCTTAACCAAGATCTAGAAAAACCTGAGCAAAATATGGAGCTTTATACCTCCAAATGGTGTACAATGATGAGAAAATGTTGGATCCAAAGTCTTGAGAGCAAGGCCACTTCCTTGATGATCTTCCTTCATAACCAAGAAATCCCACAATTCACTCAAAAGCTCAAAATGCTCAAAATAGATTAGGGTTTGCAAGGAGGATCGATTTTTAGGATGGAGGCTGATAAGAGGAAGGGTTTTGGTACTATAATGGTGCTTATATAGTGCATAAACCCTAAATATTAGGGTTTGGTCCAAATTGCATACGCACTGCGTACCAGTGTACGCTCAACGTATATGTATGGGACCAAACTTGGAAAAAAAAATCTTAACTCAAGGTTCAAAAGTGAATACCTGAAAAATTAGATGTTACAACTCTCCCCCACTTGAACTAGACTTCGTCCTCAAAGTCTGCTGCCGCGAATAAATCAGGGTAGTGCTCTCGCATCTCCACCTCAAGCTCCCATGTACATTCGGAACCCTTCTGATGTTGCCACTAGACCTTGACCAGTGACACTTATTTGTTACGCAGAGCCTTCGTCTTCCAATCTAAGATCGCCACCGGTCTCCCCACATAATTCAGGCGATCATCAACCTGAATATCATCCATAGGAACAATTGCGGACTCATCGACCACACACTTCCGAAGCTAAGACACATGGAAGATGTTATGGATCTGGCTGAGCTCATTAAGCAAATCCAGTCGGTATGCAACCTTGCCCACCCGAGCCGAAATCCTGAAAGGTCCAATGAATATGGGGCCCAGCTTTCCCCGCTTATGAAATCGGATGACACATTTCCAAGGTGACACATTCAGAAGCACCAAGTCTCCTACCTGAAACTCGAGATCAGAACGTCGCCGATCTGTATAACTCTTCGGTCGGCTTTGCGCGACTCACAACCTGTCACACACCTATTGAATCAACTTAGTAGTCTTGAGTACAACATCTCTATTCCCCAAGACTCAATGCCCGACCTCCCCCCAACAAACCGAGGTCATGCACCTTCTTCCATACAACATTTCAAATGGCGGTCGGTCAATACTGGAATGATAATTGCTTTTGTAGGAGAACTCTGCCAATGGAAGGTAAGTATCCCAACTCCCTCCAAATCAAGCACATAAGCCCGGAGCATATCTTCGAGCGTCTGAATAGTCCGATCGCTTTGGCCGTCAGTTTGGGGATGGTATGTTGTACTAAAATGCAGCTAAGTACCCAACCCCTCATGAAACTTCCTCCAAAATCTGGAGGTGAAACGAACATCCCGATCCGAAACCACCGAAACTGGCACCCCATGCCAAGCTACCACCTACCGAACGTAGATGTCAACTGGCACTCTTGTTCAATCTATCAACAATGACCCAAATAGAATCAACACCACGTGCCGTCCTTGGCAATTTTGTGATGAAATCCATGGTAATTTCTTCCCACTTCCACATATGAATGGGTAAGGGTTGCATCTTGTCATGGGGGTCTATGATGCTCGGCCTTGACTTTCCTGCAATTTAACAAACCAAGATATTTCCCTCTTTATACAGGGCCACAAATAGCTCAACCTCGGATCCTTGTACATCTTCGTGGCCCGGGATGGATAGAAAACTTTGACTTATGTGCCTCCTCCAAAACTATTTGTCTCACCCAACCTGATGTCGGAACCCAAACTCTACCACACTAAGTCAACAACCCCCGATTATCTTTGAAAACAAGGGGAATTTGTCCCCTTATCCGCTCGGCCTTCTAATTCTCCTTTTTCAATCCCTCCACCTGAGCCTTCTTGATCAAATCCAACAAAGGCGATGTGACAATCATCCTCAAGCAGATATCTCTAATAGAAGAACTCACGGTCTTGCAGCTCAAAGCATCGGCCGCCACATTGGCCTTCCCAGGGTGGTACAAGATCATGCAATCATAATCCTTTACAACATCCAACCATCTCCGCCATCGTATATTCAGATTCGGCTAGTCCATCAAGTACCCTAAACTCTTGTGGTCAATGTAGATAGTACACCGTATCCCATACAAATAGTGTCTCCAAATCTCGAGGGCAAAAACCACGACCTCCAACTCCAAATCGCGCATAGGGTAGTTCACCTCATGAGTCTTCAGCTGCCTCGAAGCGTAAGCAATCACGTGACCCTTTGCATAAGAACAACTCCCAAACCCAAAATAGAGGCGTTACAATAAACCACGAAATCATCCAAACCCTCAGGAAGCGCGAGAATCGGGGCCTCAAACAATCTCTGCCTCAGATTCTTAAAAGCCAACTGTTGATCAGGCCCCCACCGAAAGTTACATTCTTCTTTGTCAAACGGGTCAAAGGCACTAAAATCTTGGAGAAATCCTGGATAAATCTCCGATAATACCCTGTGAGGCCTAAGAAACTCCGAATCTCAGATGCGGTCCTCGGAACCTCCCATC